CCCCCCATACGCACACACTGCCCCCCCCATACACACACATTGCCCACACTCACACACAGACACTGCAACTGTTACACACACATACTGTCCCACACATACACTGCATCCCTGACATACTACAACCTTCACACACACACTGCTCACACACACACACATACTGCACCCCTTACACATTGCACCACTCACACACACCACTGCTCCTATGCCCTACTACAGCCCCATTTCCCAGCAGACCTCAGGTAAGTTGCCAAACTGTTCTTAAACGGCTTGACTACTTACTCTGGGAGGGGGTCCCAGCACTATTGACACCATAACCACTACACTGAGCTGTAGTGGTTATTGTGTCTGGATTATTTCTTTAAATAATCTACAAGTGCCCCTCCCGAGATCAGGCTCTGGATCCGCCACTGCTACATTATTCATAATCCTAAGCAAGCCATTGAGCATCATGGTAAATATAATTCACTAAAATATGCATTGCAGAGATTATCCATCACTGACAACCTACTCTCTCTATTTCCTTGTGGAAATGTATATCAACTCATTTATGACTGTTTAAAGGGACACTATAGTCACCAGAACCTTAGCTTAAAGGAACACTATAGTCACCTAAATTACTTTAGCTAAATAAAGCAGTTTTAGTGTATAGATAATTCCCCTGCAATTTCACTGCTCAATTCACTGTCATTTAGGAGTTAAATCACTTTGTTTCTGTTTATGCAGCCCTAGCCACACCTCCCCTGGCTATGACTGACAGAGCCTGCATGAAAAAAAAAAAATGGTTTCACTTTCAAACAGATGTAATTTACCTTAAATAATTGTATCTCAATCTCTAAATTGAACTTTAATCACGTACAGGAGGCTCTTGCAGGGTCTAGCAAGCTATTAACATAGCAGGGGATAAGAAAATCGTAATTAAACAGAACTTGCAATAAAGAACGCCTAAATAGGGCTCTCTTTACAGGAAGTGTTTATGGAAGGCTGTGCTAGTCACATGCAGGGAGGTGTGACTAGGGTTCATAAACAAAGGGATTTAACTCTTAAATGGCAGAGAATTGAGCAGTGAGGCTGGAGGGGCATGTTCTATACACCAAAACTGCTTCATTAAGCTGAAGTTGTTCAGGTGACTATAGTGTCCCTTTAACAAAGCAGTTTTGGCATGTAGATCATGCCCCTGCAGTTTCAGTGCTCAATTACCTGCAAATTAGGTATTAAATCACTTTGTTTACACAGCCCTACTCACATGTTTCTGTGTGTTTCTTGTGCAGCCTTCCTAAACGCTTCCTGTAAAGAGAGATCTAATATTTAAACTTCCTTTACTGCAAATCCTGTTAAATTTAAAATTTCTTATCTCCTATATTAATAGCTTGCTAGACCTAACAGGAGCTTCCTGTGTGTAATAAACATTAAATTTACAGAGCAGGAGATAAATACTTCTAAAGCAAATTATGATCTGATTGTAAATGAACCAATTTTTTTCATGCAGGCTGTGAGTCAGAGGAGGTATGGTTAGGGCTGGATAAACAGACATAGACGTTATTTATTCCTATGTGGCATATAACTGAGCAGTGAGACTCGAGATGTGTGATCTATACACCCAAACTGCTTCATTAAGCTAAAGTTGTTTTGGTGACTATAGTGTACCTTTAAAGTTACAGCACTACAAAGCTTGCTGGTGCTATAAATAATAATGGTTTGCTACAAAACAGTTGGTGGGTGAAGCTCATAATGTATTCAAATGTCCGTTCTGTGTCCTTTGTAAGAAGCTTCACTGCTATTCCATTTTTTTTTTTTTTTACAGGGTCATTCAGAGAATAATCCTGTAGATGTTAAACACAACACACAAACTAAAAAGTTAAACATAACACCATAAACTTTCCCTATCTCTCACCACAAAAAAAAACATACAACTACAAACTCCCAATTAAAAAGTCCCTACAAAAAAAGTTTAAGCATACACAACACATTCTCTCATAACAGTTAAACATTTAACATATAGCCAGGGAGGAAAAAAACAAATTTGCTGTTAAAGTGCCTAACTTTGTTTCTAAGAGTGTTCTATCAACATAAACTATCCTAGTCCTGACATTGGTTCTTCTCACTAAGGCCAGTGTGTACAAAGTGCAGACTTCGGAAGTTCTCCATATTCAAATTCTAAACTACAGCTTTATACTCTTATCCTCATCCTGTATATTTTGCCACCTTCTAAACTAAACATTCTGTGCGGTCACATCTGATTGAAAATTAAAACATTTTTTTTTTCAAGCAGGCTGTGCATGTGAGGTGTGGCTAGAGCTGCATAAACATAAACAAAAGTGACTTAACACCTAAATGGCAGATAATTTAGTATTGAGACTGCAGGGGTAGGATCTATACACCAAAATTGAGTAATTAGGCTGCAGTTGTTTTGGTTACTATAGTGTCTTAATAGTTCTAGAGATAATGTAACAGAAATATAGAGAGATGGAGAGAGACAGAAAGAGAACTGAAAATCTTACAGTAATGAAATGCATGGCTTTCACATTCCACAGCTACTCCAAAAATCCTAAATATTTCAGTGGGATTCGACCATTACCGCGGATACCATGCCGTATGCGTGGCTGAAGGAGAACCTGCTCCATCTTTGGTCTGGACTGACCCTCTTAATACCAACCAGGACAAATTTCTTACCAAGGCAGTGCTGGAGCATCAGATGTCAACAGAGTTACATTACCTTAAACAGGATGGAAAATACACATGCACTGCCACCAATGCCCATGGCAAAGCAGAAGGTTCAGTTTACTTCTTTAAATTCAGACCAGGAACCAGCAGTCAAGTTATGCTTGAGATTATATGGATTACCCTCGGACTCAAGTTATTGCTGGTCATTGTGATGCTCTGTGTATATGTTTATTACAGCAAAGGTGAGCTAAAATAATTTAATGTGTTCAATTGTAGGATTTATTGTATTTTTATTTAAACAACAAAGTACCAAGGGCAAAACCTGCTGAAAATGTTTAGAATGTTATAACTTATGTACTAAATGTAAAAAAATTTCATGTTTTGTTTAAACTAATTATATACTTTGTAGCCTCCCATATTTTTACCCTCCTTAAGCCAGGTAAATCACCACATTGTTGTCAAAATGTATGCCAAAGTTCATTGCAAATCAGCTGGGTTTGGTAATCTCAAAACTCATACACAATGACATATTAGGTTTTGTACTGTCCAGACAACACCAGGAGAGTGATCAACATATTGCACTACCTAGAGTCAAGACGTCAAGAGGGCATTTTTCTTGCACAAGACGCAGAAAATGCGTCCAATAGCCTGAATTAGGCTTATATGCAGAGGGTATTGGCCAAAATTGGCTTCCCAGACTCATTGATTGATGAAATTGTATCACAGCCTATTTGCCAATGTAATTAATGCAGGCTTTGCTTCAACATCTTTCCAGATAACAAATGGAACAAGACAGAGGTGCCCCTTTTCCCGCTGTTGATTATACTCTCATTAGAAACCTTGATGCACACCATTACCCATCACCCAGACATACAAGGTATTCAAACATTCAAACAGATACACAAGAACACCATATATCACTATTTGCTGACGATACACTTTTAACTTTATCTAACTAAACAACACCTCTACCCCAGTTGATGTCCCTTCTGACGGTCTTTGGTAGATTGTCTTACTATAAACTCAACACAAACAAAACGCAATCTCTCCTCTGTGTAAACCTGTGAATTCGCTACCCATTTGACTGGCGAACAGAGTTTCTGTTATACCTTGTAACCTGCATCAATAAATCCATCTATTCCCTCATGAAATATAATCATTTGACTTAAACTAACAGATAAAGGATGAACTTTACTCCTGGAAAGAAAAATATATTTCTTGAGCAGGTTGAACACAAGCAATATAAAATAATGATAGTGCCCACACTTGCTGTTTACCTCCCCCAACCTTTTATTCAGATAGCCAGATAGGAGTCCTCTAGTTCTTTATTACTTTAAGGATGCTATTTTAGCTCAAACTTCTAGTTTACACTCCCCTGATGGGTCTCTTCAGTGGGTGGAAGTGGAAAAAACACAGGCCCTTTCTTTGCAACTCAATGCTTTTTGGACACCGAGATGGTTTAGGAAACATACAGAGCTCCTTGACCCTGCCCCACTGCCCTTTCAATTCAGGTCTTGGAAGGCATGGTGCAGGAGACAGAGTAGGCAAAACTGTATTACCCACTGATAGCCCTACTGGCTGGAGCCCCAGATTTTCTCGTAGCATCATGGGCAGCAAGGGGGGTCACCCACATCTCACGGTTGTGAAGCATGACAGTTCTTCCAATTGCCTCTTTGCAGGCCACCTTTTCCTGGTCTCCCAAGCATATATTTTGCTACTTACAATTGAAAAGTGTCTTGTTAAAATATGTCAATTTACCTTGGAATGTCTGTGCTACTATACACCTATGGCTGCATAGAAATTATCCCCATAGTTGGACTAATCCACTGCAAAACAAAGCTCTATCTGTGTGTTATAATGTCTACAAGCAAAGCTAAAAATACAGAGAAAATCCTAAAATGGGATTTATGCTGCAGCATAAAGATTGCAATATAGGTTTAACTACCGATGAGTGGATCAGGTTGCTCAACGACCTGAAAGGCATTACGTGGTGTTATACCAAATAGAGGCACATCATAAGCTCATTTGCAGGTGGTAGCTAACTCCAGAAAAATTACAAAAGATATACACATCCTCTAATCCTAATTGTTGGAGATGCCATAAACAATTGTTCACAACACTTCATATTTGGTGGGCCTACACCTTCTGGGCACATTT